AGGGTGACCACAAAATCCGCTATGGAATACGAATATAAAAAATAAAAATAAAATACTAAATTAAACCATACCCCTTTAGCCCCCTTTAAGCACCTAAGCTAGATTCCAAAGCCACAAATGGAGTGCCCACCATCCAATAAGGGAATTTCTCATCACCGAACTCTAGATAAGTGACACAGAAAACAAAAAAAAAAAAAAAAAAAAAAAAAAAAAAAAAGAAAGAAAGAAAGAAAGAAAGATAAGGCCGGATTTGGGCACCTCTCAGTGGGCGCAAAATTGCTCCCCTGACAAGGGAAAAAAAAAAAAAAAACTTTTTGGTGTCGCCCAGGTACCCCGGGCGGGTCACCCCCCGTGCAAGTTCGCCCAGGTCGCCCGGCCGGGCGACTCTGGTAACATAGGTATTTGGCACATCTTCCAGTCCAGATGCAGCAGTAAATGACCAGGCGTTCTGTACAGGTGAAGATCGTGGGCAGAGCAGCAGCATGAGTGCCTGGTGAATACCCAAACTACTGTCTTCACCCGAGCCAACTCGTTATCACTGTATCTAGACTCAATGTTGCCCCAAGTACAGCAATAATGACCGGGGCGTCTGTCTTCACCCGAGCCCACTCATTATCACTGTATCTGGACGCAATGTTGCCCCAAGTACAGCAATAATGACCGGGCGTTCTATTCGGGTGAAGAGGGTAGTCATTCCCCCTAAGAATATACTCTTGTTGCCACCGAAGGGCCAAGTCCCAGTAGCAGCATTGAGTTTCCTCAACGCCCGAATATGGACGTGTTTGTGGAGATGTGCAGACAGTCATTCCACCCAAAGAGATACTCTTGTTGCCTTCCCGGGGCCAAGTCCCAATAGCAGCCTTGAGTTTCCCCAAGGCCGGAATCTGGACGTGTTTGCGGAGATGCGCAGAAAATCGCGGTTCAATTTTCTCAACGGCACCTCTCCGCAAACACGTCCAGATTCGGTCGGGTATTGAGGAAACTCGACGCCTTTTGTGGGACTCGAACCCCGGTCTCCAGTCCCTTCTGCCCGGGCATTCCAGCCTCCTACCGGTGCACCACCGTCTTCACCCGAATAGAACGCCCGGCTTATAACAACAACAGCAAAAAAA